ATATATATTTTATTTGGAACTTTAGGTAAACTGTTAAAATTATTTATTTTGAATACTAATGATGAATGTCTTAAATCATATGTGCTTTCTAAGATTTGAGCATTATTATGAATTAATTAGTATTGTATCTGGTATATCAACATATTTTGGGTTGTCTGCTTTGCATGCCCTCTGCGATTTGCTGCTGTGAATTAGCCTACATATCTTGAAACTATTTCATAACATAGTAACCTTCAAGTTCCTGTTTCTATTTTTGTCGGGTGTGCATGTTTTTTTAGGTCTATTGGAGATGAGAGCCTTTGCAAGGAAATATTTGAGGAGTACAGTGCACAACTAAAAGAAGAGGCAAAAGAGAGTGACCGGAAACGGAAAGAAGAAAGAGTATAAATTCTGCTCATTGTATTTGTATTTGAGATTTATGCTTGTCATTTATTTTCTCTTATGAATAACAAACTATATATGAAGTGCGAAATTGCTGTGGATAATCAGTTAGCTCGTTGATTGCTGCCTAGTTCCAATGACTAGGAATATCAGTTTTCATAATTGTCACTCATGATTGTTGTATGCTATAGTACCGATTCGTGGATTTGTTCTACTTTTATCTTGAAATCTTGCTTCACGAAGTGTCATCACAGATGAAAGCATATTGTGCTCAATTTTTGCTGTTTATCTTTTTTCTTTCAAGGTGTAGGTGAAGTACTATTCTTGTTAATAAATTTCTCTTCAATCTCTAAGAAATAATAAGTGAATTTTCCTAGTAAATACAAAGTGCATATTTTGAATATATACAAAATTTCCAAATCCTCTGCAGTAGTATTTTAATTTCTTCATTATGAATCTTTTTTATTGTTAGGCATGTAGTAGTTTCAAAACCTGGATAATAATATCTTAAACTGATTTGACCTTCTCTGTTAATATAGTCTGTTTGAAAAAAAGGAGAGTCACTGGTTACCTAATAATATGTTTTCTGCAGGCAAAGAAGGAAAAAGACAGGGAGGAAAGAGAAAGAAGGAAAGTGAAGCAAAGAAGGGAAAAAGAGGGAGGGCGTGAAAGAGGGAAAGATGAGGCGCATAAGAAGGATAAAGCAGACAGTGACAGTATGGAGTTAACTGAAATCCAATCCTCCAAAGATAACAAAAGGTCTGAAGATGATAATAGAAAACAAAGGAAGCAGCGTCAAAGTCCCGAGCAAGAAATGGATAAGGAAAAGACTAAGAAATCTCATGGTCATGGTACTGACCGCAAGAAGTCAAGACGTGTATGTAGATTTATGACTTGGCTGTCTTACAAATGTTCATGATTGCTATCATATATTGTTCTCTAATTATCTTCTGGTATTTTGGTTGTATTTTTTTTTTTTTTTTCTTGGGATAAATGGAGCAGCATTCATCCAGTCATGAATCAGATGAAGGACGGCACAAAAGACATAAGAGAGGCCACCGCAGAGAGGGTGATCATGGAGATCTTGAAGATGGGGAATTTGGTGATGATGTGGATAGATGGTAGCCATGTTAATCTATCCGAATTCCTATGATTACCTTTTGTTTAGCTCAATATGTATTATTTTTCAAAAACAAAATTATTAAAATATCAATTTTAAGAGAACTTCCTTGTATTCTAATGTTTTGCACTGAGGAATTTGCTACTAGAATGAAAGGTTAAGTTCACACATGTGGAGCCCAGTTTTTGCAACTTGCTTTGATTGATAATGAATTTTCTCATGTCAAGTTTTCACAAGATCATGTTCAAATCTTGTATCTACATCTCTTTTGATAGATATTAAATATTTGATGCTTATTTAATGCTAATCAGGAAATAGATAGATACAATATTAAAATATAACTTGTGTATGTACAAGATTAATGCCTATGAGTATTATGCTATCTTCACTAGTATCGCTGTGTTAACTAAAATGGGCCGAATGTTTTCTCATGGGCATGATGGGTAAATAAGCCCTACTATGTTAGCTTCAATTGGGAGGGTTGTTGGCACTTGATGCTGCTTAACGAATTTCATTTTGGCTCATATTTATCATCATTATAGTTTAACATTGAATCTTAGACCAAAGTTTTTAGTGCAGACTGGACTGAATCAGATTTGGTTGCTTCCAATGGTGTTATGTCACTGATTTCCTGTAACCAGCTATATTATCAAGTTGATTTCTACAATCATTGTTGTTTCTCTTTCCTAGGCCGAGCCTGATTTATAACCACAACACGGGCGTCCAAAAGTCAGTCATAATTATAAGGAGCTACGGTCACAGAAATTGGAAAAAGAAGATCCAAGATTACTTCGAGGTTTTGTGCTAATGGTTTGCAGCTGATTCTACTTTTAAACTGTTATCATTTTCGGTTTAACTGCATTCTGGTCCGAGATCGGAACTACACAGTAGGGAATTGCTTAACACAGCATGCTAGGGGAAATTCAGAAGTGATTCGAAATGGTCATAACCCAGAAATCATTCTCACTCAGGTAACAAGCACCACTTATTTGACTTAAAGTTGTTTTATCTAGTTAGTGGAGTTGACAACTTGACATTAGACAACCGTTTAAATTTGTTTTTCCCTACCACAATTTTGACTGAAGTAACTTTTCGATATAAAGTTTGTGGTAAAGGCATTTACTATCACTAATATGGCACTCAAATATAGATTATAGGTAGTGCGATAATGCGATTTACATTTAAGTCCAGTATCAGATTATGGTTCAAAGTGCCTTTTTCTTGGTCAGTACCGAAAAGTTCTTCCACAAATAGCATATATAGCCCACCAGTTTTTAATGATAAAGACGAAGAACTATGAAGTTATTATTTTAAAAAAATGGTAGAGAATAATGAAGATTTTTGATGCATTTTCAGCTTGGTAGGGCCAAATAATTGCAGCTTGTATTCCTTTATGTGCCTTTTGTGATTCCTTTTTTCCTACCTTTCCATCCTCTGTTTTTTCTTTTTCATCTTTGCCCTTTTTTCAATAACTTTGGATGTAAGAACTTATTCCCTTGAGGCATTTTCTGGGATTTGTTATGTCTTCTCTTGAATTCCTTATTAAATAAACTAGACATAGATCCGCGCGCGAATAAAAGTAAAATTATTTAAATTAAAAAATATTATTTTGTTAGTTAATATATAAATTTTATATATAATTTTTTTAATTATGTAATATAAATTTGTTATTGATTTTTTACAACAAATAAATTTATTATTGTTTGTAATAGGGTTTGTAAAGAAAAAAATATTATTATAAATATTTTTGACATTTATTTTTATATAATATTTCATCCTTTATTTTTTTGTCAGATTCAAATGGAAAAGAATAAGGGGGTGTATTGGTTTAGGATTTCATAGGATTTTAAAAGACTTTTTTGAGTAAAAAAGTCCGTTGGTATTCAATCAAGACTTTATGTCACTTAAAAACAATACAGTGATATTCAATCAGGATTTTTAAGATTTTTTAAAGAGTCCAATAAAATCCATTGGTATTCATTTGAGACTTTTTACAACTTAAAAATAATTCATTGGTATTAAAAAATATAGGAATTTTAAAGGATTGTTGTATTAGAGGGATTTTGATGGACTTTTTAGTGGTATCTATAAATAACAAATTCATAAAACAATCTCATCCAAACCCATAAGATTTTGGAAGATTGTTTGAAATGACTTTTCAAGTGCTTCAAGAATTTTCAAGTGGGTTTTTTATTTTTATTTTTTTTCTATGCTCATGTCTTCTCCATTTTTTTTCTCTTGTTAATAATACTACACTACTACTTATATATAATACTGTATTACTGTTTTCATTCCATTCTCCTATTTGGTGAAATTTCTATACGTAAATGATAGTGTCATTAACTTGCTCTATTTTTCTCTCCGTTCTCTTTAATTGACTTGCTCTATTTTGGTCTATTTAATTGAGATTGTTGCTTAGTTATATAACACAGAAAATACTTGAAATTTTAACTTTTAAGTAGTAATTTTTTTTATAACACGCGTCAAGAAAAGGGAAAGGTGAAAGGTAAAATTGATATCATTATCTCTATAATCAACTATAGATCTTCAAGACTTTGTAATCAATTTAGATTTATTCGAACAATGTATATATATATATATATGTAAAAAATGAATTTGAGTTAGGGTTTCTGTAAATAGAATGAGATAAGAATGAATCTTAGTTGGGAGAAGAACTCTCTCAAATAAAAACTGTGATCTCTCTCCTTCTCTTGAATTTGTTATTGTTATTATTTCCTTTTTATGACTCGACAATTATTTTATTTCTTTTTTTACTATGAATTTTTTTTTTATTTTTATATTATGAAATTAAGATTTTTATATTTTAAAAAATAAAATTAACATAAGACATTGCAGTATCTTAGAATTCAATACTAAAAATATTTCTTCACAAGTAAATAATTGAAAGCAATTAAAAATTAAAAAAATATTTTGTACCTGTAACAAATTTCAGATATTTTTTTTCCTCCCAATTGATGTTTGTAAATATCTACTTTAGTACCGATATAAAATGAAGGGACATATTTAGAAGAGAGTAGGGTAGTTGTCCCACTATTTTTTTTAGTCATTTATAAAATTATAAATAAAAATATTTTAAACCGCAAATTATAAAAAATTTAAAATGTTGTTTAGAATAATTTTTAGCATGTGTGGGACTACATAACTTTTTTCGTAAAGAATGTCATTATGATGAATTTCCAATTAAGTGATGGACGAACTTTCATCTTCAATATTACTAGTTAATGAAAATCATAATTTTGAGCCTATTATTAAAACACAGGAGCAAGAGCGAAAAGATACTAATGTTTGGAACGGGTACGGGGCGGGTAAGTACATACCCGTACCCGTACCCGTACCCGATTTAATATATCGGGTTTTACCCGTACCCGTACCCGTACCCGGTCAAACCGGGTATTCCCCGTCAAAGTCGGGACGGGTTCGGATATTACCCGAGGGTACGGGTATATTTGCCATCCCTACTTGTGTGTTGACAAGCGAAATCAGCTCATTAATGTGGAAGACTTAAGCAGCACAAAAGAGAAAGGCATCGAGTAATCTGGTCCCCCCTATTCAAGTACACCTTCTAGCCTTCAAATGAAGTTATTTTATCGGCACGCATTGGCACCACTAGATAATAAATTTTAGGCTATTGCACAATTTTCTGAGTTTTAGCCTTGGACGCCACTAGATTGTGACTTGTGAGTTCTGACATTCTAGACCACCTTAAATGCTTAATCTACGAGAAAATCTGTTTAAAATATCCAATCATAGATCTCTTTGTTAAATGGTTCACTTTTTTAAAAGGCTTGGTTGGTACAAGTTTTGAAGCTGGTAATGTTAACATCCAATACCGACCTAGTATTTGAACAAAGTATTACGACTTTTGCAATCCTCTTGTTAGGGTGCATTAAGGTAGTTTGTTCTCAATTCTAATATGACGTCAGAATATATCTCAGCCATGATGTTGGGCCTCTCTTCTTCCATTTCCAAATGACATGCTTTCCATTCTTAACTTTTTCTTTTCCCACGTTTACGTCATCCAGTTCCACCGGCAGCAATAGCATGCTCGATGCAAAAACTGTCCACCGTTTATTTGTGCCCTTACTATCCTCTCATTGCATGTAGCCGCTAATGTTCCCCATTAGACAAGCCAAATATTATTTCAGTGGCAACTTTAAAAATCACTGTAATCAATTTTGCATTGCAGACATGTTTACGCATGTGAAAGCACTTCATGATTGTTTTGTCAGGACTATACTATCAAGTTGAAGTCACATTCATTAGCATTTTAAAGCTTTATCATGGAAGGAAAAAAAAAAAGAAGGATTAAGTATAACAAAGGAAGCTACGCCTAACACGCATATAAAAAGTCCATTATCTCAATTACAGGGAGGGACCATTTGGCAAATCACAATTAATGCCTTATCTCTGCACTTGGACTTGGACATACTTGTGTTTGGTATGGATATGTAACATTAGTTTTTCAAAGTATTTGTTATCAAATTAATCCTTTAAATATACCAAATGATTAACGAAAAATTCTTTTAATCTTGTAAATTTTTTTTATAAAAATTTTAATGACTTGTTTTGGCAAAAAAAAAAAAAATCAAAAGATTAATTGAAAAATTTATATTAGAACATAACACGATATGTAAGAATCAACTATCAACTTCTATAAGTTTTTTTTAGAGAAAATACAAATTGTTTATTTCAAAATTTACGTAAAAAAGATGTAAAATACTGTTACACCTTAATCTATCAATAGATGATTGATTTAAGAATTTTCACCATAATAAAATATCATTTGACAAATTCCAATCAACCTAAATTCCAAGAGCCATCAAATGCTTTATTTCACATTAAAAGTCGTTTTTTCTAGAACATTATGATGTTTAAACAAACAGAAAATTCCAATCTATCAAAGCATGTGTTAATCACCACTCTTTAGAAGTCCAGTCCTAAATCAACAGTCCATCAGATACACCAATCCATAAATCATGTAGCACAAGCATTATTCACGTTTCATAGTAAAAAAGAAAAAAAAAAAAAAAAAGACTTGTGTTGTGTATCCCGTGTACAATCTTTTTTTTTTTTGAAATAACATACTAAAATTTTGTAGATATATAAAATAATAAGTAAATGCATGCTATAATGGAAAAAGTCCCCACCACAATAAGGTAGTGCTTTTGTAACAGCTTTCTAATATACATTAAATTTTGGTACGTGTTTTATACATGTTTTGATTTCTCTTTTAAAAAGTTTGGGATAGATGTATCATGTATGTGAAAGACGGGAGTCTACTATTGGGAATCCAAAGAGTAAAGTTCCATTCCTGCCCCTGCACCATCTATATAAATTGATCCTAGAGTCCTATTCTACTTGTGTGATTACATATATAGTAATTGGCAGTTAGCAGTTTTTTTTAAGAAAGCAAAGAATGAAAATGTCGTCTAAGGTCACTAGAGCCACCTTTTGCCTCGCAGTCTTATTCCTCTTCTTAACCTTCACATATGCAGGAAGAAGTAACCCTGCTTCTCCCTCTACCGTTTCAATCAAAACTCAACACGGGGTGAGTTAATACTTAACTTGTTTGATTCATATCATATGATTTGCATAACCCTGGCAGTTACATAACATGCGTTTCTCTCTTGTATTGTTCAATTATGAGTAATCTTGTTCTCTTATGTGCTTGAAGGTTTTGGAAGAGGAGAAGTTGGACGTGGAGGAAACTTGTGATGGTATTGGCGAAGAAGAATGCTTGATGAGAAGAACACTTGTGGCTCACACAGATTATATCTACACACAGAAGCACAAACCATGAGATCAAGGCCTGGCTTTCTCATCGAATTCAGCCTATGCATCGCTCGTTTACCCTTGTAATTTATGTATGAGTAATTCTTTTCTTCTGCCACTTGAAATTTGAAGAAATGCTTATAGGAGTTTTTTATACTCTAAATTAAAAGATGTATTCCTTTTGGTTTCATATTGTATACTAATGTAATATGTATATACCGATTTTGGTAGATATAAATTTTGGATACTACAGTCATCTTTGTTTATCCATAATTTTAAGACCGAGTTTAGACATCATAAGTAAGTAGTTTATTTATTTATTTGGGTGGTGGTAGTGGGCACAGTAGCATATTTGATTGGTCATATCAAATAGTAATAATGGAACCTTGTTGCATCTGCATGATGAAGCTAAGCATCAGCTGAAAAGTCTCCAACTTGTTTGGCAAATAACCAACACAATGGACCGAAAGTCACTTTGGTGAATAATAACATGTGCGGGAGGGATGGACAAAAGAGAAAAGCTTCAAATTATAGATTCTTCGCAATTATAGCTTTGGCGTTTCTTAGTTTATAATCGATGATAAAGATAATGAAACTTGTTTGAGACAAAAGATATTGTGCCGCTGCCACCATAATATTCTTGCATTAGTTAAACAATTTTGCCTTAATGACTACGTCGTGATTATTCTATTAAGATTTTATGAAGTTCCTCGTGTAGGATGGACTCAAAATATCAAATACTTAAAACTATTTTATCCTAAATATAGACGTGTGACTTTGTCCAAAACCTGTTGCAGTCATACTCATTTCTCCCACACTCGTTTTTGCTATTTTGCATATAATATGCTCTGTTTTTGAACACGGGTAAAGAATCACACTCTTATAATTTCACCCCATATGTTGAGTGGTAAATAAACTTAACCAATCCGATTAAATGAAACTAACCGCCACTTTGGTTTAATTGGTTCAATGTATTAATTGTTTGGTACCACCGTAAAAATATTTAAACTTTTTGGATTATGGTTCAGGGGTTTGCAAGTTCAAATCTTTCCACGCCACTTTGAATTTGAGCAATGTGTACCCTTTGTGTTAGCAATGGTTTTTCAGTTATTTTTACTACTACACTTGTTTAGAATTATGTTTTTATCAATTATGTATTAGCTTCCAAGATTGTGTTATGTACGAACCATTATCTATTATTATTTCTTTGTATCTTGTGATAAATTATAATGTTTATTATCATTGAAACAAAACAATTAGAATAAAATGAGAAAAGCAATGAATTGTGGTTTAAGTTTAAGGTCAAACCAAGTCATGATCAATACCACAAAATGTCCTCTTGATTTTTCCTATTTGTTATCAATATGAAAAGGAAGTCTCCCTTTGTTTTTGGTTCAAAACCTACCAATAGAAAACTCTTTCGTGGATTTCGGTGTTGGAAGCTTCATCTAGACAAGAAATTATACCAAAATTTCGGTGTTCAACAAGAGTTTCATAATTTCCTTATATATATATATAATTTCCTTATATATATATATATATATGAG